CTCTATTTTGCGTGATTATTCGATGAAGTTAAATCCCAAAAAGTGTACGTTTGGTGCCGGGTCCGGGAAATTCTTGGGCTATATTGTTAGCCAGCGCGGCATCGATGCGAACCCCGAAAAGATCCGGGCAGTACAAGACCTCCGACCACCAACCTCAATCAAGGGGGTCCAAAGCCTAACCGGCAAACTCGCCGCCCTAAGCCGGTTCATCTCCAAGTCAACGGATCGGTGCAAGCCTTTCTTCGACGCGATCAAGAAGAATCACAAGTTTGAATGGACCCCCGACTGCCAAAAAGCACTAGAAGCCATTAAGGAGACCCTCTGCCGGGCCCCGACAATGCAAAAGCCCCGCACGGGGGAAACGCTCTATCTTTACCTAGGAGTGTCCGAGGTGGCTGTGAGTGCCGCCCTGATCCGAGAGGAGAACTCTTGCCAGCACCCAGTCTACAACGTTAGCAAGGCACTCCACGATGCCGAGCTGTGTTACGCACCCATGGAAAAGCTCGCTTTCGCGCTGGTGACCGCTGCCCGGAAGCTGAGGCCGTACTTCTTGGAGTACTCAATCGTCGTTCTTACCTCCTATCCTATTAGGCAGATCCTACACCGGCCGGACACGTCCGGCCGAATGGTGAAGTGGGCAGTGGAGCTGGGGCAGTACGACATCCACTACCGACCCCGAACAGCAATGAAGGGGCAGGTACTCTCGGACTTCATAGCGGAGTTCACGCCGGGAATTGAAGAAGCAAAAACTGAGGAGCCATGGGTGATGTACGTGGATGGATCCGCCACCGCCGGGCGAGCGGGCGGGGGAGTCGTCCTCGTGGATCCCCAGAAGAAGCTCTTCTGTCATTCAGTTCAGTACCTCTTCCCGGCTACCAACAACGAAGCCGAATACGAGTCATTACTGTCCGGGCTCGACCTTGCAGAAGCCATGAGCCTAACCGACCTCATCATTTATTCCGACTCCATGTTGATGGTCAAACAAATATCAGGAGAATTCGAGGTTAGAGAGCCGAGGTTGGTCCCCTACCTGGGGTTGGTGAGGAAGAAACTAGCCAAACTCCGGACCCGGATTGAACACATTCCCCGAACGGAGAACGTGCAGGCCGACGCCCTAGCCCGCCTCGCCTCAAGTGCCGGGGTGGAAAGCGTCGAGTACGTTCAAGTAAGCCACAAGGAGCAACCTTCTGTGCTCGGCGCCGCTGTGTTAAGTGCCGAGCAGGTTGCGGGAGACCAAGACCCGGGCTGGATGGTCCCGGTCCGGTCGTATCTCGAAACCAGTTCGTTGCCGTCTGACCCAAAAGAGGCCAGACAACTTCGTACCCGGGCAGCTCGATTTACGATTGTGGCCGGCGAGCTGTTCAAGCGGGGTTACTCAGCGCCCCTACTCAAATGTGTAGACGAAAGGAGCGCCGGGATCATACTTGAGGAGATTCACGGAGGCGTATGTGGAAACCACTCCGGAGGATACGCCCTTGCTCATAAGGTCCTCAGACAGGGTTATTACTGGCCGAGTCTGAAAAAGGACGCTTTGGAGCTGGCCCGGAAATGCGCAAAGTGCCAAACCTTCGCACCCAACATCATTCAACCATCTCAACCCCTGAAGTCAATTTTCAGCCCGTGGCCATTCGCCAAGTGGGGTGTCGACCTGATCGGCCCCCTACC